ACACACACACACACACACACACACACACACACACACACACACACGCCGGCCGGGCCGCGCCCAGCCGCCGCCGTCCTCCGCACCCCGCCTTTCCTGCGCGCGTCCCTGCGAGCCGCCTCCAGGAACCAGTGAATCAGAGAATGAATGAGCGGAGAGGAAAATCCCGCCCGCCGGGAAGCCGGCCCGGCCGCTCCTGGTCCGAGGGTCCTGGGAGGCCGAGCAGACCCGGGCGGCCTTGCGTGCGCCTTCGCCCGCCGTCGGCGTCCTCCGTCTCCGGAAGCCAGCCCCGGGCTGCTCAGGCCCCCGCGGACCGTGGTGGAGATGTGGGGGCGCTGCCTTAGGCGATCCCATGTTAGCCCTAAACTCTGCGGTTCCGTGCGGTGTATGTATGGGAAGCTCCCAGGAACCCGAGGTTCCGCCCGCCTTTACCTTTTCGCGTCAGAGCCTGTTGGTTGGCGTCCCTGGCCTCTGTTCTCCCTTACTGAATGTGTTCGCAGCAGTACGTGGTTTGGCATCTTTCCTTAGCCCTGAGCTCTAATCCCCGAGAGCTACACCTAAACACTGAGTTTTGATTCCAAGCTCCCAGTCACTCGGATACTGCTCATTTGAATGTGGGCTTGACTTAGCCACACTCAGATTTCTTTCGATTTATGTCCTTACTGTGACCTTCATGTAAAGTTGATCAAAGGAAAGAAGAAATAGTATCAAATTGCCTCTGCGTGGCTATCTGCTGTGTTAGCGTTAAAGAAATTGAACTGTGAGCAGGAACTGGCCGCGTTGAGCGTTCAGCATTCTTTATTCGTGTCTCGTCTGCTCTTTGACCGTTTTGTATCTTGAATTTTCTTCGAGAAAATAATAAGAAATCATGTATTTCTGAAATTCTGGCGTGCTTTCTAAGAATGAGTGTTCATTCCTCTATTTTGGGGCCAGATACTAGTTTGACTAATGGCATTCTACTTCCTGATATTCTTGGAGATTTCCAAGTGGTTTCAGTCTTTTTGTGTAATCTTTTCCAAACTGGCGCACAATCTGCTTCAAACTGGTATTTAGAACTGTCCAATACAATTACTTGGCTGTTTCGCAATTATGCGTATTTCGGAAATACATGCATGTATCTAAGTTTGGGAGGTACTTCAATAATCTGGTGTAAAATAATGCTATCTCATAAACTAAAAATGGTGGACACGACCAGTTCCTGTGACCTCTCTTCCTTGTTGAATTTACTCATTTGTTGCCAGTAATTATTTCAGTATGCTATATTCTCTTAATAGTTTATTCATTTCCCCTGCAATATCTACAGATTGTATAATGACAGATTGCTTTGACATTTTTAGTCAATAATTCATACAGATGTGTCTGTAGCCTCTTCCTTTCCCTTGTGACTAGGTGTGTTGAGATTAAACATAACCTGGGTACCCAGATTTGATAAATTAACCTACTGTTATCAAATGGTCTTACTAATGTTATGTGATGTTGAATGTTAGCACTACAAGGAGTAGTCTCAGGTTTACAGAAACCTCCTTACAAAAGAGCTCCTGAGTGCTCTTCAGATAGCTCTCAGCCAGCTCTTCCCCAAGTGCTTAGGTTGGTTAAGGCTAATCTTAGAAAACAGTCACTTTCCACCTTGAGAAAAATAAGCTGGTTCTCATCAGTTTCATTAAGCCATGAAATAATCCATTCACTTAATTAGAGCTTATTAAGCTCCGACTAAGGTGTAAGAATGAAAAGACAAAGACTCACTGCCCCCTGCCCCCAGAAACCATGGACTGCTGGGGAAAGGAGGTAGGGAAGCCACTGTTAGAAAATGAGTCTATCCCCAGATCAGGGAAACCTTCCCAGTGGGGAGATAAACTGCGGGGTTTAATGACAGGGAAGGGCTAACCAGACAAGGAACAGTCAATCCAGACAAAGGCAACAAAGTCTGTGCCAGTGTGTGAACGTTCGTAGCATCCAAGAGGCCTGACTCCCAAGCAATCCCATCTCTCCAGGACAGTTGCAGAGAAGGTTCAAATAGGTGGGGAATGGTAGGAAGGACCTCACTGCTCAAGAGCTCATGTGCTACACAGAGGAGTTTGAACTTACTATAATAAAGAATAAACTCTTTGAAGGGTTGTAGTGTCTGTAACAACCGAGCATATGTTTGGAGATGAGAAAAATGGCCGATGAATGAAAGCAAAAGAGAGGAGATAAGCTAAGCCTCCACAGAGGCAGAGGGAATACAGTGGGGAGGGGGCAAACATTAAGAGGGAGAGGGAAACATTAAGAAGGTGGAATCCACAGAAGTTCACGTAAAATTGGCTGGAGGACTGCAGGAGACAGAAACCTGTACAATTCTACAGAAGGCAAGCAAGCTTCTGTCTTGGGGGACCGGAGGGATGATGCTGACCCTCCCTGAAGTAAGAATGCAGGAGGACGCTGGCTGAACACTTACACAAGAAAATATTACCACACGAGGCTGGGACCTCCGTCTGCAAAGGGCTTACTGAACACAGATGATCTTAGCTCAAATTCCCAGTGGCATGTATCCCTAATCCCAGTGCTTAGAAGGTAGAGACAGGAATGTTCCTGAAACTTCCTGAGGTTGTCCTGACCTCTACGAACATGCCTGCACTCAACACACACACACACACACACACACACACACACACACACACAAACACGTACAATAAGTCTAGGCACTTCATAGGATTCTTAGTCCATTAGTCTGCAAAGTGGGTTCTTAAGGGCAGTGGCTTCACAGGTCTTCAGTAGACGTAACTGCTCTTCTTGCTTGTCAACTTGACTACATCTGGAATGAACTAAAGCCCGGTGACTGGGCACAGCTGTGAGGGACTCTTTCTTAACTAAATCATTTGAAATGGGAAGACCCATTTCTAATCCAGATATTTAGCTATTTAGGTGGATTTTCATAACTTATCTACTTTTATGTACATTTGGTGTTTGACTTACATGTATGTCTGTGTGAGGGAGTCCGATCTACTGGAACTTGAATTACAGACAGTTGTGAGCATGTGGGCGCTGGAAATTGAACCTGGGTCCTCTGGAAGGGCAGCCAGTGCTCTTAAGTGCTGAGCTATCTCCCCAGCCCGGAAGATAGAACTTTAATCCAAATCTTTTGAGGTGGGAAGATCTACCTTTAATCTCAGCAACACCTTCTTCTGGCAGCCTATATAAAAACACAGAAGAAGGAAGTTATCTCTCCTTACCAATATACCCTCTCCTTTGCTAGCAAGTCTACTCCTTGACTGCCATTAGAGCCGACTTTTTCATGATTCTGTCTTTTACTGAAGACGAAGTGAGTCATTTGACCTCTTGAACTGAACAACTACTGGGTTCTTGGAAGCTGTCAAGAACCAGACATTCCCCTCATCTTTACCTTCTCACATCAAAGCCTGTTCATTGGCGTCCCTAGTTTCTGTTCTCCCTTACTCTAGAGAACCCTCCTTCAGCAGGCATGGTTTCCAAAGTAGCTTCCAGTTCCTTTAACCAAAAGAGTAAAAGATGACAACCACACACACACAGAAAGAGAGAGAGAGAGAGAGAGAGAGAGAGAGAGATTAATTCTATAAATTCTGTTACTCTACAGAACTCTAATACAGCAGGCATGATTTCCAAAGTACCTTCTAGTTCCTTTAACCAAATGAGAAAAAAAAAAAAGATGATAAGCAAATTCCAATGGACTACTCATTGGAAGAAGTTTCCTGTGGTCATAGTAATGTGTGCTGTGAAGTTTTTATACAGATATTAGATGCAGAATTTCTCAAGTGTGTTCAATTATGAAAAACCTTTTCTCTAAATAGAACAGGTCATTAGAGATGTGTTACACAGAATACATTTTGGAAAATGTTGACCACACCCAGATTTTTATTTTACAATGAGAAAATTGTTGCCCTAATACATGAAACCACTCAACTAAAGTTGAGCCTACTACTGGCAGATGCTGGGCTAGAACCCCTATCTTGACCCTGGTCACTTTCTCAGACATGATTCTAGTTCTCAGACCTAACAGCTAATGAATGGGAGGGTTTTCTTATACTAAATTCACAATCCTTATTCTCAGGGATATTTAAAAGTTCCTATTCTTAGAAAAACAAGGCAACTTCTTCATCCAAGAGACTTCTCAGAACTTTGGGAGCAAATTTTGTTTCACAAGTAACTTCTCTTACGTGTTATATTTGATATTAGTCAGCATCTTGAATTATGCTTCAATAAACGCTTCTGCATAATTTTTACATCTAGATCAAGGGCTGTCAAATATGAGACTAATAGGTCAATGAACGAGTACTTCATTCATTTGTTAATCACTTATCAAGATATTTCAGTGTCTACCATGTCTTCAGCTCTGTTGTAATCTCTAGAGAAAAGTGAGACAGTGCCTGGCCTTCCGACGTAACATCATTCGGTAAGGATGCTAGGAAACCTGCAGGTGAAAACTTGAGTCACTGCAGCCTTTACTGCATATTTAACAACAAACAATATAGAGTAAGAGCAAGATATGTGGAATATTTTGGGGTGATGACAAGCAACTGGAGAGTTCTTAAATGTCTAGTCATGGGAAGTTGTTTAAGAAAGGGATGTTTTGTAAAAGAGCATTTATTAATACCAAAGTGTTGTTTATAGTACGTGCTTGATAGAAAATTGCAAACATTAGATGAAATGTGAATTCATGAAAAAAAAATTACAGGAAAATGTAGAAGGAAAAGTCTTTGTCGCACAGTGATATAATTATGATACTTTAATTTTTCATTAGTATTT